TTTAAATAAAGGCGTTTTTCCCTCTTTGGGAGGGAAAATTGTTGTTTGTGTTTGTTTCGTAATAACCAAGTCTAAACAGTTATACTTTCTGTCTTTTCTACTTTATTATCCTTTTTCATGTACTCTCCTGGTTGTTTTTTTTTCCTCCTGGAAAAAGTTAATGCCTTAAATTTAGATAACAATAATGAGAGGAAAGTCAACAATTCTACAATAAGATTTCCATATTGTATTTTCCTCTTGCCAAATGATTTCACTTACAATGTAAGTTGAAAATCTGGTGTGAAACTTCAAAGCTATAGATATGTAACTGATGCTGGATTTGGAAATTGTGAAATAAAGGCTTGAGTTCCGAGAGGTGTGTTGGTGTAGGTGGGTCTGTAGTAGGGCTCCCCTTTGATGAGCCCTGGTGGTGTAGTGGGTAGGCATGGGGCTTCTGACTCCCAAATGAGCAGTTTGAAACCACCAGCCACCCTGTTTTTTAGTCCTGGGAAGCGTTACAGTCTTGGAAACCCACAGTGGCAGTTGTACTGTGTCCTCTATAGGGTTGCGGGGAGTTGGAGTTGACTCAAGGGCAGGGAGTTTGTTTGCTTGCTTGTTTATGCCAGCGATGCAGGTTCATTTCCTCGCCTGTGTACCTCCCCCCAGAGCCACCACTTGTCTGTTAGTGGAGGTTTGTGTGTGGCTGAACACATTCCAGGCGCTTCTAGAGTAAATCCAAAAACACCCAAACTCTCTGACTCTTAGTAATAACCCTACGGACAAAGTAGACGGACCCTGAGGACTTCTCATGCTGTAAATCGAGGAGCAGAAAACCTCATCATTCTCCCCCACAGCTGCTGGTGGTTTTGAATTGCTGACCGTGTGGTTCACAGCCCAGTGCGGAACCCACCGGAACGCCTCAGACTAAGACAGTGACCGGGAGCCTGAAAACCCCAGGAAAGGCACAGAAGTGAATGGACTGGGTTCTGCCCCCTCCCCCAATAATGTTGAAATCGTCCTGCAGAAATACGAATAAGGATGACATCACTATTTCACACAAGAAGCTCGTCCTTAAAAACATGAAATGGGAAATGTTTAAAAAACTAAGATAACGGTCATGGTAACACTGATATACGTTGACATTTTACTACTACATGTCAGTGTGTTACAATAGAAACATTGATAGAAGTATGGGATTCTCTTTTTTTCTGTCAAATCCTGTATAGCAGGTTTGTTAGGGCTTGAATTTTTTTATTTTTAATTATTAAGTTGACCCAATAGATTTTTAAGTACCTTTTCTGCCATTTGTAGTTTGTTTAGTGCCATAAACTTTTACAATTAGGTTATTTTGTGGTGTGTCTTTTGGTTGAACACCGTTGAAATTGTTCACAAAGGACATTGAGTAACCTGATTCTAAAAAGCCTTCCTGACGTAAGCTTTTCTATTACGTAAAACACGAACCCCTGGCAAATGGCATCTTTGTCTCTTTTCTTCGGGGCAACATAGAAAAACTAATGCATGTTGAGTGGCCAAGTGCTTTCCATCCTTAATAGGAAAGAAGCAGTAGGAATTAAATTTTATCTGATTAAAGCCATACATTTCTGTACACATTTCTGGTTCCTGTGTACTGTGGAGTGCATTAAATTCAATTTTATACTGAAGAGACAGAGTCCCTTCATTTACTCAGCTTTGGTAGCTGTTAATAATAAAAGTATTCACTATTTAAGATATTCAAAGGAGGTTTTGTTTGTTGGGTTGGCTTGCTTATCCCTTTCATTTTTATGCTAATTTTTTGAGAAATTCCACAGGCAACATCATGACAACAGTCCCAGAGAAAAGAACTAAAACTGCCTATAAAAGCTTACCCCTCCCAAATTAAACTCCTCCTAGCTTTTCTGCCTGCTTCCAGGGTCCCTTCTCTTTAACTCTACAAGCGAGGATGTTTTATTAAAGGGGGAGCAGGTATGTCGCGTTGTGTACAGCAATTGTGTTTCTAAACATGGTGTGTTTCATTTTGATGTAAACGTAAATTGGTAGAGGTCCCTAATTCTTGATCATTGTGGGGTTTTCTGTGTTTATAAAAACTCTTAAGTGACAGGGAAGTTCAAAGTGCCCCTCACTGGCCTTTATGTAACTTCAACTGGTCATTTCTTGATTTTCTTTAAGCAGAACACTTCCATACCTTATCTTCTAAATATCTAATGTGAATAATGGCCATTTAAAAATTCGTGATGGGTAGAAATTGATACACACCTGACCTATAGAAATAGTGATGGTCTTCAACTCGGAATGCTGAATAAAATTGGAGCTATCCTGTGTTTGCAAATTTTGCGATCCGTTTTTTCAAAAAGCGTTTGTAACGTGCCGTGTTTGGAATTTTATCTGGTACTATGTTGTATACTAACAATGGGTAAACTTTATTTTTATTGTTGAAAAACTGTGTGCTTTCATTTTTCTTTAGAATATGTTTATAGATTCTTTGAATTAGCTGTAGAGAAAATGCACTTACTTACATATTGACACATGGATAAATTTCAGTGAGTTAGCTTTGTCCAATGGGTATGCTGTGGAAATGGATTATTTTTATCTCAGAAACATTTCTTCCTCATACAAACAACAAGTCATTGAGATGTAGTCTAGAAAGTGAATTTTGTTTTGTTTCTTTTTCATAAACAAAATTTAAGAGTAGTTTTTATAGAGATGAAGGTAGAGAAATGTTTAAGGGCTTGTTTTATAGCATAAAACGCTCTTCAGAGAAGATTCCATCTCACAAATTTACAGTATGGATAATGAAGCTAATGGCATGGAAGGGAATGGCCTTCAGCATGCGTAGGTAAATGGTCAGGTGGGGCAGACATGGCTCTTTGGTGTCGCTCCATGTCCCTGAGTGACTGAGCTGCACGTTCTATGACCGTCCTTCCCCTGTGGCTGGTCAGCCCTGCTCGGCTGAGTAATGCAAGTCTCTGTAGTCAAGGCTCTCTAGAGATGTGTAGTTTCCTGAGGTACTTAATCATTGCAGATAAATTAGACATACATGTTGGCAATGTGCTGTATATACTCCAGTATAAGCCGAGGCACCTAATGTTACCACAAGAAACTGGAGGGCTTGGTGGGGGGCAGGTGGAGGGAGGGGAGAAAAATGAGGAGCTGATACCAAGGGCTCAAGTAGAAAGCAAATGTTTTGAAAATGATGATGGCAATAAATGTACAAATGTGCTTGACACAATGGATGTATGTATGGATTGTGATAAGAGTTGTAGGAGCGCCCAATAAAGTGATTAAAAAAAGAAAACAAAATAAAAAAACTGGAGGGCCGTTTCAGCATAAAAAATGTGCTGAAAAAAACTCGGCTTATTCTAGAAAATACACGGTAATACTTTTAAAGTGAAATAACTGTTAGCATTTAAAGAAGTGAACATTAATCAACCACCCTAAGATAATTGTTGGTAGTTTTTCAGACTTTTTTTTGTTTTACTACATGTATATGTTTTTTTTCTTACTAGAATAAAATTAAAGTCCACTATTAGGGTGGGGTGGGCAGACAGGGTGGCAAGGTGAGCGGAAACTTTCTACCTATTTTGTCCATGTAGAAAAGACTATACGGCATACTAATACTTGGCCTGGACTTTGAGTTTATTTATTCTTAAATATCTTAATTAAATACAATAATCATGTGTGTTTTAGTACAAAGTTTTACTTGGCAGCAAAGTTAAATAGCAGTTTTGGTTAGTAAGCGTATTTACTATAAAAGGTTCAAACGGTTCTCCACATTCGATAATGGAGAAACTCCCCGTGTGGCAACGTGTGTTATACATACGAATCATGCTTTGTCTTTTGCTGGGGTCTAAGCCCCGTAAAGGAGTGCTGGTGGCACAGCGTTTGCCTGAGACTGCAAGTGCAAGGTCAGCAGCACTTGGAAACTACCAGCCACCACAAGGGAGAACAAGGAGACGCTTTCTACTCTAATAGAGTTACCGTCTCAGAGGCCCACCGGGGCAGCTGCCCTGCGCCCTACAGGGTCACTGTCACTTGGAATGGACCTGGTGGTGGTGAGTTAGTTCTACACCAGCCCTATAAGACTAGAGACCGTATCTGGTGAGCGCACTGTCCAACCACACTCTTGGCCCAGCCAAAAAGTAGATGAGCTAAATGACTGACTGAAAGAAAAACAGGCATAAACCCCCAAATGAAGTACTTTATCCAAACAACTTAGTGTTTGGGCAAAAATGGTCCACCCCCCTCAATCATCTCCAGTTGTGGCGGTAGCTTATCCAGGCAGTGCCCAGGTTATGTACGTCGGACTTATGGACAGCTCCTACTTGTCCTTTAATGTTACATATATGCATATTTGCCCTCATTTGAAACATCTAAACCAACCCCTAGTTGAAAGAAATGTCTTCCTAGTGATCACCCTCCCTTGCCACAGGCTATATATATATCTTGATATCATGGGTAAGGCTTTGAGCCTTTTCCTGCACTCAGACCCAAACCCCAACCAAACTCACTCCCCTTGAGTCTTTTTTGACTCATGGTGACCCTGAAGGGCAGGATAGAACTGCCCCTGTGCGTTTCTGAGACTAACTCTTCAGAAGAATACAAAGCAGCCTCACCTGTCTCCTGAGGTGTGGTGTGGCTGGTGGTTTTGAACTACTGACTTAGAGGAACACAGCCCAACGAGTAACTAGTATACCATCCGGCATCATCAAGGTACCTTTCTTGCACTAAAGCAAAGCTGAAAAAGAACCCTATCTACTTGTCCTGGCTCACCTAGAAAGCCCATTTGATGACTTAGGACCCGATCTCATGTGTAACCTGGAGACGCCTCCCTAGAGGCATGGATGAGTGGGCTGCAGGAAATCCACAGCTCCGGCTTATTGAACCCTCCTCCTGATTGCGCCGAGCCACACCTCTGCTAACTAGGAGAGAAAACAGCTGCCCTAATTTTTAGTGCTGGGAAGCTCGAGTGAAGAAGGACGATGGTGCCAACTGCAGCTTCTAACCTGCTCGCTTCTCTTCCACAGGTGGAGCTCTTCAGAATGATTCCCTGCAGAGCAGCCCTGTCCTTTGCTCGGTGTCTGATCCGGAGAAAAGTCATCACTCAGGACAGTCTAGAGGATTCCAAATTATGCCGCTGCTTATCCACCATGGACCTCATTGCCCTGGGTGTTGGGAGCACCCTCGGTGCTGGGGTTTACGTCCTGGCTGGGGAAGTTGCCAAGTCGGATTCTGGCCCAAGTATTGTCGTGTCCTTCCTCATTGCTGCCCTGGCTTCTGTGATGGCAGGCCTTTGCTATGCTGAATTCGGGGCCCGAGTTCCCAAGACTGGGTCTGCTTATTTATACACATATGTGACCGTGGGAGAGCTGTGGGCCTTCATCACTGGCTGGAATCTCATTCTGTCGTATGTGATAGGTAGGTTTCAAAACCAGCCTCAGTTGTGTGAGATGGTAGAAAGAGCGGCTGCGTCAGCTCCAGTCACCACTGGTCAGTGCCGCGTCGCCTCAAGTTACTTACTTGACCCCCTTGTGGGTCTGTGTTGTTTTCTCCTCTCTGAAATCTTGCCTCCTAATCTCACAATTACTGAGTACACCCCTTACTGAGTTTGTTAACCTGGTTTTGTTGTTGTTGTTTTCACTGCAACTAAATCTATCTGATGCCAAAGGTATGGTTAACTAGATCCCTGTTGTCTAATTATAAAATGATCCTTATACTGTGTTCAAACATTTCAGGTGTGTGCGAACTGACCCGTGTTTGTCCGAGAAGAGAGTAGCCAGCACTTCGGGGTTCATTTCCTGCCGTTCACCTCATGTTCTTTCAATGTTGTTTTGTTTGGGACAGGTACGTCCAGTGTCGCAAGAGCCTGGAGTGGCACCTTTGATGAACTTCTTAGCAAACAGATTGGCCAGTTCTTCAGAACCTACTTCAAAATGAATTACACCGGCCTCGCGGAATACCCAGACTTTTTTGCCGTGTGCCTCATCCTGCTGCTAGCAGGTACAAAAGAGTAAAGTATGCTTTTCCTCATAATGACCCAACGTGACTGCCCTAGGGACATAGGTCACCACTGAATTCGGGCTTGGGATTAACTAAGATTTATGGGTGGTTATTGCAGACCTGTGGGCTTTATTTTTGTCTGGATACTTGTCTTAGTATAAGCGTGTTTCAGAATTAATCTAAATTGTGTGGAAAGAAGAAGGAAAAAGCCCCAAACACGTCTGAGTACTTGGTAGCTGGGATACCCGACCGTCTAGCATGAGACACATCAGTCGTGCGATGCTGATCAGAGGCATCACAGTGTCACTAATGAAGAGTGGACAATTTGAGGGCATTGTTTCAGCTTGTTAGCTATCGCTCGGCATGTTGAAAACACGTATGAGTTCTAGAAGCAATCTTATTTTTCCATTCATGCCTTCATGGCTGTGTCTATATAATTGTAGACATCTGACTGCAGAGGAAGCCGATTCAAACCACCCATTGTTCCCATTATAGACATTCTGTAGACTGTAAACATACTTGATCCTGGGACTTTTCAGCTTTTATCAGTATTGCAGCCTAGTGGTTCCAGCAGAGCACAAGAAAAACAGAAAAAAAAAACAAACAGATTTTCAGTCCTCCTCTCCCGCTTCCTGACATTGTGATCTCTGAGTGCTTTAACCTTCCCACGACTCTGTTTGCTCCATTATGAAAGGAGTATGGCAGGCTCACCTCCTTGAGGCTTTCTGCTTGATACACAACTAAGTGCTTTTTCGTAGCCATTATAGCTCTGTAGGCACTTGTCCCTGCTGCCCCTTCTCTTGGTTGCTGTCAGTATTTGACCACTTTCTGTTTTGATTGCCATCCCTCCCTGTGCTCCTGCTTGACCCATCAGTGACTTGCCCTTGCCCTGAGAATGAAGTCCTGGCTGGTCCATCTCCTAGTGGATGAGCTATCGCCCCAGTAACCTGCCTCTTGTTTTCCTGTGCATCCTTATCTCTAACTGCTTTCTCCCTTGATGACAGAGATATGTAGAAATTCCTTTCTATGATAAAATGTCCATGGGCATAATTATATAACTTAAAAAGTAGCTTTAAAAAATCATTTTATGGGGAGCTTTGACAGATGTCATCACAATCCGGAATTCAATTAGATCAGGCATCATTGCTGCCACTATCAGTTTCAAAACCCTTTTCTTCTTGACCTCTTTGATATCAGCTCCCCTAAAAGTAACTCTACTTTTATAAAAGTCCATGAATTAATTCTTTCACATAAGAATTAGGGTAAATATATATATATAATTAGGGTAGGGACCCAAACAAAAAAATCTTTAAGTCCAAAATATTGTGCATTTTCCCTCCGATATCAGGAAATAATTCATTGATTTTTGAGATCTTAAGAGTCATTCCTTTTTTGTTGGTTTTTGAACTGCCTGGCTAATCTTGGTGTAGCGGTTACGGGTTGGGCTGCAAATCACAATGCCAGCAGTTTGAAATCTCTAGCTGCTCCCTGGGAGGAAAATGAGGCTCTCTGCTTCCACAAAAAATTACCGTCTCAAAATCCCACAGGAGCAGTTCTACTCTGTCTTAAAGGGTTACTAAGAGTCAGAATCAACTCGATGGCAGTGCACCACTATTACATTGTTCACATTCTGTTTTATTTAGGAGTGGCTTCAACAATCCTAAAATGTTCAGCTTTGATCTTTAAATGTTGAGAAGCATGTAGCTATGCCACAATTAAAATCATAATCCATGGCAGGACTCCAGGCTTGGCCTGCTTCATTTATTTGATTCGTTCACTGTCCTGTCTTTCCTTTAAGTATAAACCGAGCTGCGCAGGTTTGATTGGCTGCTAACTCAAAGGTTATTGGTTCAAACCCACCTAGCTGCTCTATTTCGTGGCCCTGTGGATTGCTTCTGCCAAGATTACAGCCAAGGAAACCCACCCTTTGGAGAAGTTTACTCAGTCACAGAGGAGGTTGCCTAGTGTCAGGGCTTGTCCTGACATTAGCTAACAACAACAAAAATATATCTAGGCCTACATAATGCCAAATGCCTTGTCAACTGAAACCATGCAAGGGAAGGCAGGGCTTCTCCACTGAGAGTAGGGTGTTCTTGTGAAACCTTTGTAAACTGAAATGACAGAGGGTGCAGGTGCAATGACCATTAATTTATATTAATTCCTGTACGTCCAATTAACCTAACAAATCATATCAAACACACAGACCTAAAATAACACCAAATCACAGTAAAAGTAGGAGAGATGTGAGAAATGCACAACCTCTGTAGAGTAGAAATCATATACACACGGTAGCTCCACTGAGCAGACTCAGGAAGAGTGAAGGCTCAGAAGAGCTGGTGACCCCTCGTAGGCTAGCTACAAGGCACTGGGGCCGGGCTGAAGGGCCAGGCTTCTCTACTGTGTGTGCCGAGGTATGAGTCCTACTGTTAAGTGTACAGAGGATAAGTTAAGGATGAGCTCTCAAGATTCATCTATCCATCACCAAGCCTTGGACTGGATGAGTCTTTCAGGAAGGATGGAGGCGTTTGGAAAGAGCATTTGGCTCATGCTGCTGCGTGAGGAGGGCTGGGGACACCACTCTGGCTGCTGAGGGTTTGTGCTTCCTTCGTAACATCTCACTGCAAACAAACATGAAATGCTGTTTTCGCCTTATTTTTGTAAAAGTGAAAATCCTCTCAAGATTTCTTTTGGGGAGTGAAAGTAGATACCAGTGTAGTCTTTCCTAAAAGTGAATTGGAGTAAGCAAACGCTCACAAATGGGGCCGCGCTGTATAAGTAGACTTTAGAAGTGGGGGTACACGTGGGGTATTGGGAAATGTACAATGTGGTGGTGGCTCCGTGGGAGCATGGTGTTGTCGTCTGCTCCCATAATGATTCACAGCCTTGGAAACCCGCAGAGGCAGTTCTGCTCTGCCCTGCAGGGTCACTGGGAGTTGGAATTGACTCACTTGCAACTGGCTTTTTGTTCTGAAGCAAAAACAAAACCAAGCTCACTGCCATAACTCTCAGCGACCCTAGACTCGGGAATAAGCAAGTAAATATATGTATTGTATGCCATAATCCTTTCATACTTTTTCCACTTGTAAAAAACAAACTCTTGGGTCCATAATTCACATTTTATATTAGATGGGTTAAGGCACAAATATGAAAAAATATATAATCATGAAAGAAGTAGAAGGAAACAAAGATCAGTGTTACAGGATTAACGTTAAGCAAAATCCTCCTAAGGGTAGAAACTTAAAAGAAAAATTGTAGATCAGATTCATACAATTCTTAAAAGTTTCCTACATAAGTAACCAACGAGGTTAAAAGCAAATTATAAACTGGAAAAAGCATTTAAGCAGAGTTTATACCATTAGTGCATTAATGACTCTTAAATATGAACAGGAGCAAGAACACACCAGTAGGGAAATGCATTATTTATATTGGACCAAACGTTGTGGAGAATATTTTGGCAATACAAACCAAAATCCTTTTATAAAGCATGCTTATCCTTTGACATAATATCACCTCATTCAAAATTGTTGTGAAGAAATACTTAGAAAGTGTGCAAAGAGGTTTCTAAAAGGATGATTATATCAGTACTATTTATAGTTGTAAAAATACTTAGTGACCTACTAGTGTATAAATAAGAGATTAAAGTATTAAAAAGCAAAACAGAGAAAAACCTCTTGCTATTGAGATGATGCCACCGCAGGGGGGCCCTGGGTAGGACAGAGCGGGCTGGGTCTCCAAGGCTGGGATCTGTACAGGCATGGGCTTCCCTGTCTCCCGCTGTGCAAGACCTGGGCCCCGGTGCTGAACCACTGTGCGTAAACACTCCCCCCACCCACCCCGCTCTCTTGATTCAGATACACTACTACCGTATAGTAGAAGATTAAACATGAGGTTTATTTGTTGACATGAAAGCAAGTGTGGGGTTTTGCAAATGCAAAATTCTGATGCTCGTCTTATTTTTTGTTAACTTTGCTGTATCTTCAACTTTCTTGGCTGTAAAAATTGATTGCCTAGATTGTCCGCATATCAAGTCAAATCCACAATGGTTGCCCCGGAGTGAATTCTGGCAACCCCCCACTTTACCGTGGAGAACGGCTGTGGGTTTGGGATGTTGTTTGCTTGTTTTGTCAGGTGCTTTCTGGCCTCAGTCTGTGCAGACGCACATCTCCAGGCCTCTGCTTCCAGAGGTTGCAGCCACCAGCCTCTAGGTCCGCAGCCAAGCACCAAGGGACTGCGCCACCTAGGGACTGGAATGTACAATGAGTGTAGTAAAGTTCAGTTTTGACGGCACACTCAAAGAATTCTTTTCTTTTTATATGAAAAGTAAACGTCGGGCAGATGTATGGTTGAGTTTTTTCATTCAAAAATTTAGCAACCATTAATTTTAAAATGGCTTTTTAAAAACAGCATCACATTGAAATGAAGTGTCACTTTGTGTACCTTTATTAGGAATAGCCAAAGTGATCCCATGTGGGTGTGATCTGATGTCTGGCATCAAGCTCGTGGTGTCCAGAAGACATTGTTTAAAATGAGGCCACTATTAAATGGATCACATAATCATATCTTCACGCCCGAAGTGCCATTGCCTTTCCTAAAGCAAGGAGCCCTGGTGACAGAGCAGTTACACTCCCAGTTGCTAACTGGAAGCGTGGTGGTTGGAGCCCACCACCCTCTCTCCTGGAGAAGTTGCCACCAGCAGAGGTGGTAGTCGTGGAAGTCTTAGGATTCTACTCTGTCTTGTAGGGCACCGAGGCAACACGTTTGGTTTGGGTTCTTAAAGCTAAATTAGAATGTCCTTTTCCCCCCTCCCACAGGTCTTTTATCTTTTGGAGTTAAAGAGTCTGCTTGGGTGAATAAAGTCTTCACAGCCATTAATATCCTGGTACTGCTTTTTGTCATGGTTGCTGGCTTTGTGACAGGCAATGTGGCAAACTGGAAGATAAGTGAAGAGTTTCTCAAAAATATTTCAGCAACTACCAGGTAAAAAAAAAAAGACCTTCTTGTTTAATTATAGTTTTCTAATTTGCTTGCTTTTTGTTTTATACATATGTGAACATTTGTCTCTAGAACAAGGATTCTCAAGCATTTTTGTTTCAGACACTTTTCTGAGAGGCTTAGTTTTAGCCACAGACTCTTCTGCCCTTGCTCCCCACCAAACATACAAGTGTAGAGATGGCTTTCCTTTCCCGGGGCTGCCATATCAATTTCCACAAGGAGGGCCTCTTACAATAACAGCGGTGTCAGCTTTGTCGGTGGCAGTTTCAAAGAGCTCACAAATAGAACCGCTTCCCAAGGAAGTCATCTGAAGTGTATTCCTAGGAGAAGCCATCTGATAGGAAAATAACTTTCTGAAGTGTTTGTTCCCTTCCTCAGCGAGCCACCTTCTGAAAATGGAACAAGTAGCTACGGAGTTGGCGGCTTCATGCCTTACGGCTTGGCAGGGACTTTGGCTGGTGCTGCGACCTGCTTTTACGCCTTTGTGGGATTTGATTGCATTGCAACAACTGGTAAGAGCAGATTCCTGGCTCTCTGTGTTGGGATAAGTGTGCCTTTACCAAGAGTGCCCTGGGGTTGAAGAAAAGCAGAGGGTTGAAGAAAACCGAATTTATTGTGTGAATCATTGTTTCCATTTTCTTCATCCTATATGAGGAGCCCTGGTGAGGCAGTGGTTTACATGTTGGGCTGCAAATCACAAGATCAGCAATTCAAAACCACCCGTTGCTCAGTGGGAGGGAGGGGTGAGGCCTTCTACTGTAAAGATAGACTACATTGGAAATCCAGAGAAGAAGCTCTTCTCTACCCTGGAAGGTCACCATGAGCTGGAATCACCTTGTTGCCAGTAGATTTGGGGTCTTAGGGGGGCTGGGGACTTGAGGGGAGTGTGTGTGGACAGAATGAGTTATCCCATATACTATAATAATTATGTCAGAATTACTCTCAGGTCTTTCTTCTGGGTTCATATCATTACATGGCAAATCTTATTTTAAACAGTCCAAAGTATACTTTTTAAATTGCTACTAGAGATTAATATAAATAGACACACTGGTAGTTTATTGAAGCCTATTAGAGCCTGCTGAGTGCCAGTGCCAAGCCAGTCATTTAAGCTCTGGGGAAACCAGTGCCCAGGGGATTAGGGCTGCTGTTCTGTCCATAAGTAGCTCATAGGGCCGGTGTGCCAGGTCCTTCTTTCTGGAGACAGGAAGTTGCCTGGCATGACTTTTCCTTGTGCCCCTCCCTCTGGGAAATGGATCTTTTATGTAACAGCAAAGTTCCCTCAAACAAAGGACATGTCTTTCATGTAGAATGGATGAATTCAGCTAAGGGAAGGGAGAAAAGCAGCATATTGCTTACTATGGAGGGAGGAAGAATCAGGTAGAAAATAAATACCTTCCCCGTGTGTTCTGCGTTAAAGGTGCACATCTTTTATTTCTCCATAGGTGAAGAAGTCCGGAACCCCCAGAAAGCAATACCTATTGGGATTGTGACTTCTCTACTTGTTTGCTTTATGGCCTACTTTGGGGTCTCAGCAGCTTTAACACTCATGATGCCATACTACCTCCTCGATGAAAAGAGCCCCCTTCCTGTAGCATTTGAATATGTGAGGTGGGGCCCTGCCAAATATGTTGTTGCGGCAGGCTCCCTCTGTGCTCTGTCCACGAGGTAAGCAGCATTATCTTCTGGCCAGGGGCTGCTGTACGCCTGGTCAGTGTCTACAGAAAGCTTTCGTATTGTTCGGACCTATCTTAAAGTAAACTTGAGTTGGTGTAAGTGGAAGCTCTGTGTTGTGGCATTGTTTAACAGCATGTGTTCTTATTTTGAAGCACTGTGACTTCCCCTCTTAGCACTGAAAAATTCACGCCATATCTTCGTGGAAAGAGAAGGGTGGTCAACACCAAGTGTTCAGATTCGTGAAAGTTGTTTTTTTTTTATATTTAAGACTCTCCTCAGGTTTCTTAAGCATTTCATGATATAAATAAGATACTTTTTTTTAGTCATGCGACAGCCCATCTCTTTACCTGAATCATGAATATTTTAAACTGAACATTTTCTGAAGGTCTGCAAAAGAAGGGGAGGGACGGATCTTGATATAATTCTGCACAGCTTAATTTTTTTTTTAATTTTCTATTGAAAATATTGCATAAATAATTAGTAAACAAATATTAAAACCCATTATCTCTTTAAATTATTAAGTGACTTAATTTAATTCTGTTATCAATTAGAAGTTTTACTGGGTTTTCAGCCATTGGTTAGTCTGAGGTTTATTTTGAATAGCTTCAAATAGTCTCAAAAGGCTGACCTGTGAAGATCCATTAGACCTGGGTTTTAGAAGAGGTAGACAAAGATCCATCTGTGGCCAAGCACTACCTACGTAAGAAGGAAGGAAGGTGGGGTTTTAAAAATGCAATCTCCTTCTTCTCAATGGCTGTTGTCATAATTAAGTCATGTGTGGAAGTACTAAGCACACCAGTAATTCAAAACAAATTAAGCAAAAATAATTTTTCTAAACTTCACTGTTAATAATTTTTCATCGTGGTCACTTAATTTACAGTAAGTTGAATGTCTTTGTAACCTTTCTCCATCTTGGTTATCTTACGATCTTGGTAATTATTACTAATTTGATCGACGACCAGGCTGGGTAAGAGAAAAATAATTGTAAAATAAATATGCAAAATATATAATTATTGGAATAAATGGGGTGACTGTTGAAATAATGGTTTAATTTCTAATTAGATGCCAATTTAAGAATAATAATTTCTGAAATATTGCTGCTAGAAATGTTTTAATAATAGGTTTGGTTTGGGTTTTTTGGTTGTTTTTTCCAAAGCTTTAATTAATTCATTTAATTTATAATCATGAATCTGTACAAATTATTTACAGTATTGTTTTTAATCTGCTAATGTTGCTGGGCAGCTCTCTGTGAAAGCGTAGTAAGCACACAGCAGAAACATTGCCAGCATATTGACAATTAAACACCCAATCAGGGTGCATTACAATAATGATATTTCATAACTAAAGCAATTATGCTGAGTTTTATTCAATTATGTTTCATTTCTTGGACATCATCTTGCTTAAAATATGTTTGCCATTCTGCATGTCTTTGCTTTTCATTCAGTCTTCTTGGATCCATTTTCCCAATGCCTCGTGTAATCTATGCTATGGCGGAGGATGGGTTGCTTTTCAAATGTCTAGCTCAAATCAATTCCAAAACGAAGACGCCAGTAATTGCTACTTTATCATCAGGTGCTGTGGCAGGTGAGAGACAGTTAACTTCTCTAAGAAAAGGGCGATCTTTTCCACCTAGGACAGTGAAAGACAGAAATTAGGTGGCTGTCAGTTATTTACATGAAGGTCAATACGTGTTTGGGGTAAATGCTTTCTGTTCTGATTTTTTTTTTTCACAGAGATTCTGCTCTTCAGTATCTTTACCTGTATGTGCTTCCTAAAGTATGAATAACCTCTCACGTGTGGATTATGAATTTTTCTGTTCTAGTCTCCTGGGCTCTATGTTCCCTTTACCCCGAATTCTGTTTGCCATGGCCCGGGACGGTTTACTGTTTAGATTTCTTGCCAGAGTGAGTAAGAGGCAGTCACCAGTTGCTGCCACGTTGACAGCAGGGGTCATTTCTGGTAAGCGTTACAAACGGGCTTCTTCAACCTTGGGCCGTGAACATTGTGTGCTCATGCATGGACTTAGCAAAAGAGGGTCGGCTTTCTGTGCATGGAAATTATGGACGGAATCACTGGTCGATTCGGGTATGAACACTGGATGACAACTGAAAATGGTGGTGCTGCTGCGCACTGAAATTCATTCTCCACTGCCTCTTTGCCTTGTTTTACTCTGTCGTGACTTTAACCTGTTGAGGTGATAATAAACGTACAGAGGGTTGCAGTGGCTCTTCATGCTGCATCAGGTATCAAATTCTATATTAATTGATGTGCGAACATGTGGCATTATATTCTTGATGCCTACAATCATAATTAAGGAATAATTCATTAATTTTTAAATGTTAATTTAAGATGATGATTCCATGTTTTTCTTTTTTTGTCCAGGATACAAATAAGATATTGCAATAGCAATAAGGGGCCATAGGATTTTCTTTTCAGCTAGATTTTTCAGAACAGAGCCCCTCAGCTGTGCCCATTCTCAGTGAGCATAAGAATGCCAGGGACAAGGTGTTCTTGGTCATGCCAGTCACTGCCCTCAAACATGGGTGTCCTGGGACATCCTGGTTCTCTCAGACTTAGCAACACTCAGATCCTCTGAGATACTCCTTCAAGGCTGTTTTCCCTTTCAGGTGTTTCAGTACTGAAGTAAGCGTTCAGGAAATTATGGCATGTCATAATTTTATGTGTAGTATCTTGACCAGAATCATATTCTGGGCTGAAATTTGCAAAGGTATTTTATAGATAGAGAAGAACGTGGCCTTAAGGGCTCTGTGTTTGGCAGGATGAGAAGGACCTCGGCAAGCATCATAGATAAAATGGTCTTGTTGGTTGAAGTTTAGACCAAAGTGATCATTGGGTTAAGGATTTGAATTGTTGGGAAAATAGGCTAGTTAATACTTAATCTAACATTTAGTTATATATGAAGTTGGATTTTTGCAGGATGAGAAAGTATTTGCCTTCACATCCTGATTTTGTGAAATTTTTATAGTAAATTTGACCCTTTAGCAAATTTAGAAAAGGCAAGTCATTTATCTTTTCAGGGCTTTAGTTTCCATCCCTGTAGAAAGCAAATTGCCTTCCATAATCTAGGGCAGGCATTCTCAAACTACGGCCCGTGGGCCACACGCGGCCCACCAAGGACATCTATCCGGCCACCAGGTGTTTTTGCCCCATTTGTTTTTTTACTTCAAAATAAGATATGTGCAGTGTGCATAGGAATTCGTTCAGTTTTTTTTAAAAAAACTATAGTCTGGCCCTCCAATGGGTCTGAGGGACAATGAGGTGGCCCCCTGTTTAAAAAGTTTGAGGACCCCTGATCTAGGGCCTACTTTATTACTAAAATAGTGAGTGCTTTATGATAATGGAAATAGGGTTTGAGTTTTTCTAGACAAAAGATCAAACATTTTCTCCATAATTTTTTTTCTTCTAATAAATTTATCCAATAATACTCTTAATTTGTTAGCATTTTGTTCTTGTCATTTTTAAGGTATCTTCATTTAGAAAGAATTTAATTTGGTATTATAATCAATCAGATATTAAATAATCAGAATAAGATCATTATAACAGGCTTTCTTTCAAATGTCCTAAAAATAAATTTTTATGATTTGCTACTTTCCCTCACACACTGCTTTGTTGGTTTATAAATGAAATCAGAGAACTTGTATCCTGTTTTCACTACCTGCGGTTCTCACGGGAGAAAGATGAGGCTTTTTACCCCCATTGAGAGTTACAGTCTCGGGGACACAGAAGGGCAATTCTACCCTGTCCTATAGGGTCACTATGAGTCAGAATTGACTTGATAGCATTGAGTTTGTTTCTTGGTGATTCTCACAAAACATTGAAAACACATTAATGTAATGTATTAAGGAGCCAGGTGATAGAATGGTTACGCATTGGGCTACAAGGTCAGCAGTTCGAAACTACCAGCCAGGTCCTCAGAAGAACCAGGAAGCTTTCTACTCCCATAAATAGTTACAGATTGGGGGGTGGGGGAAGAGTTACAGATTGGAAACCCACAGGGACAGTTTTGCCCTGTCCTATAGGGTCACCATGAGTCAGATTTGGCCTGATGACAGTAATTTTTTTTTTAATGTGTATATTAGCAATGAGAAGCTTGTAGGATGAGGTATGGGGTGTATTTAAAGAAATATGATATTGTACTAAAAGCTACAGGGTTGTTGGTTTAGTGGAACATTGCCTCTACCTTGTAATAACTTAAGTCTGACTCGTAAGATGAGGATAGTAGTCACAATAAATCAAATTGTATGGAATTGCTGGTTTGTTTTTTAATGTCAAAACTCTATGAATACCAGGCTTTTCATGTAGCTGAATCTAATCCCTCCTTATCCATTGGCTTATCCAGTAGAAGATAAAATATGATCGTAGACATATAAGGTTTGCTGAGAGGTCTGAAGCGCCATATAAATGTAAAATGGGTGTTATCTATTTACTATCATAGATAGGGTCAACTATTTGGGGAATTCAAATGAAATCTTTTCACTCTTTTGATGCCTATTTAAGTGTTCCGAGTAGATAGGTTTTGTACCTGACAGGTCACCATTGGTACTAAAACAAAGTGTCACTCATTTGGCGCTAACTTGGAAGCTATTTCCTGAATCGGATTTTCTCACTGGTCTCTTTTCACCTTTCCTTTTTGTGCCCCATAGCTGTGATGGCGTTTCTGTTTGACTTGAAGGCTCTCGTGGACATGATGTCCATTGGTACTCTTCTGGCCTACTCTCTGGTTGCAGCCTGTGTCCTCATCCTCAGGTGAGCTCTCCGGGTTGAAAGGTGGTTCTGAAGAGTGTCTGGCCTGTGGGACATAGGGAGTGCCGAAACGCAGGGCTCACCGCCCTCACTTTCAAGGAGCTTAGCAATCTCATAGGAGCTACAGTCTATGTACAGTCCTGGACTACTAGTCTGAACTCGACCTCAGCAAAGAATCAGATATAATTTAATTGGCGAGTGATAGGTTAGCCGATTTGTGTAGAAGACCTATTGTCACAGTGTATAAAGTCACTCCCATTGAGTCGATTATGATTCCTAGCAATCTTAAAGGATAGGGTAGTACTGTACCCTGTGAGTTTATGCGATGGTAACTCTTTATGGGAGTAGAAAGCCTCATCTTTCTTCCACAGAGCGGATTGTGGTTTTGAATAGCTGACCTTGCACTTGGCAGCCCAACTCCTAACCACTATGCCACCAGAGCTCCCTCACAATGTATAAAGATACTTATAAATACTCATGCATTTTGTACTAATAATTGAAGTGCTAAGCTTTTTTTAATAAAGATGTAATCAGAGAGGTGGACAGAGAAATATGGAAAGGCGATTTACAAATAGTGAAAATACTGAACTCACCTGACTTTACTCGTGAGTAAATAAATGAGGATGTGTTGATTCAGTGGATTCTTACACAACAAATAAAATGACATTAAATTGCATGGGGAAATGTATCAATTTGAGATTGTAAAACTACATACACATTTGAGTTTATTTAAACAATGCCTCAGCAGTTTATATGGAAAACCATGGTCAGACAACCATATCCATGGTTTTAAGAGCTATCAGTTCAAACAACCACAGACTGCAGCTACTTGGGAAAACATTTTTCAGAAAGTGAAAATTTAAATGTGCCAGGCACTGAGCCCTCCCCTGAATTTACGTGAATGAAGTGCTGTGGCTCCTGCACCTCCTGTCTCTCCCCAGCACTCACTTGAGCAACGTTTCCTTTGGGATGTTGGTTTGCAATTTGTGCTGTGTGCATCCTTTGTTTCTGTGTAAAACAAGGCCCTTAACAAGCAATTAAGTGGCCAAATCCATCCCTCAGAGAAAGGCTAAGAGAGAGTGAAAGAGGCTGTGTACATAGTGTTTCCATTGTGCTAGGTAATACAAATAAGCTAGAGATGATTTAAAATACCATATATGAGGATGAGGTGCACAAATTACACACAAATACTATCCCATTTTATGGAAAGGAGTCAGCATGTGTGGATTTTGATGTCGGTCTGGGGTTGTGTGTGTGTACTTGGATTGTTGTTACTGTGTCGAATGGACTCTTAACTCGTAACAGTCTTATGACAGAGTAGACCTGCTCCATATGCTTTCCTAGACTGAAATCTTTACAGGAATAGTGTATCAGGTCTTTTCTCTGCGGATTGGCTGGTAGGTTTGAACCTCCAACCTGTCATTTAGAACTGAGAGCTTAACCATTGTGCTACTGTGTGTGTGTGTGGCTGTATGTATTCATATGACTATATGTGTCTATATGTACATATTCTTAGATACCTGCATGAAATTTTATCAAATTTCACCAAAATACTGATAGTGATTAACTCTGGGAATGGATGATTGTAATTTTCTTTATACTTTCGTGGTTTGTTTGTTTTTTCCTTTTTCTTTTCAGGGAGCATTTTTCTTCTATATGCGGAGGAAAATGCTGTTCCAAAAATAAATAGTACGGGAGCTCAAAGGGGAGACAGGCCACACTGAGAGGATTCAGGGCACACCGTAGGGGTAACACAGGTGTAAAAGAGGTGGGCAGAGCAAAAAGGGAAACGCCGTGCATGGCTGGGGTTTACCTAGAAGAATCAGGTTGGGAAGTTGAAGAGATGCGGCGGAGAGACAGGTTGTGATGAGGCCTTTGTTTGCCAAACAGGGGATTTTTCCTTTGTTCTCTAGCTGATGTTTGACCAGAGTTTTCTGACTGTTTTGGTTAACTACATTTCCTTTGGACACAGATACTTTCCGAGTAATCATTTTAAGGTTAACAGAGCTAGCTTCCCTTTGTGTCTAACTACATAATCTTCTAGTGAAGTGGCTCTCGGGAAATTCCGAGTTGCTACAGGTATTTTATGGAGCCTGTGACCGAGCCTCGCCCATTCAGGCATGAGGTCAGGCAGCATGGGGTATGGGGAGGGGGCTTCAAAGACTTTGTGGAAAGTGGAAATAAAAGCCTTAGGTGTTTTATTTACAATTTTAGATTACATTTCTTTTTTGCCTTCAAGTACTGTTTTGTTTTATGTGTGTTCAGTGAAAGTGTACACAACAGAATAGATGCCCGTTCCACTGTTTGTACACCTATGGCTTCATGGCATTTGGTTGCAACATCCTTGAGTTGTAGCAACATCCTCATTACTTGCACTCTAATTCCATCCCTGTGAACATGATCTCACAGCCTCCCCAAACTGCTCATCTAAGCTTCAGAGTGTTTGTTTAACAGGTGCCTATTTCATTTTGGCCAAGTGTCGACATAGGAATAAAGACACAGGTGTTTTCTTTGGGGACAGGTACCAGCCTGGCTTGTCCTATCAGCAACCCAAATATTCTCCTGAGAAAGAAGCTCTACAGTCGTGTGCCAGCCCAGCCTCCAAGAGCGGGTCCCAGGTCACCATGCTGCAGGGCCAGGGCTTCAGCCTTAGGCTCCTCATCAAACCCTCCCCTCAGCCCACATCGGTGTCAGCTTCTCTCGTGAGCATCCTGGTCGGATTACTGGGTAAGTCCTCTGCACCGCCTGCACTGGGAAGTCTGGTTCCTGTGCGAAGGCGGAGCAGGTATGAGGTGAAAGGTGGTGGTGGCAGTCTCTGTTCGCTCGAGCTGCCGGGGTGCCTTGAAAGAACAAAGGAATTTTTTCAAGTCCTCAGGGTACCAATTCTAAAACAACCTCTCTCTGTCTTCTCTGGGAAAGATCCTTGTTTCTCTGTTTTCTTCGACCCTAGTTGTCAGTTCCTCAAGGATCTTCCACTGTCAGCAAAAGTTGTGCATTTGTCTCTGCCTATGCTACTCCTGATAAGCCAGAAGTGCTTAGGTTTAGCACATACCCTGCTAATAAAGATGTGATAACATAACCAAGAAGGCCCTGTTTCCAAACAGGATTCCCCCACACCTAGGTGTAGGGGCTAAGATCCCAATATGTATTTGGGGTGCACAGTTCATCCACAGCAAGACCTAAACAGCAGAGGAAGCCCTGGGTGGCAGCTTAAGCCCCATGGCCATGCTTAGAGAGGTGAGACTCAGCTTAAGCCCCATGGCCGTGCTTAGAGAGGTGAGACTCCCCTGGGAGGAGACAGGAATGAAGAAGTGAGGGTGAAGTCAGCCGTCTCTTCCCATAATGAAACGGAAGACGCACGAAGGGAAGAGTCTTTGTACAGGTCTTTGCCTCATCACAGCGTACTGTTTGAAGTGAGGAATTGGAGTGAAACGTGTGCGCGCCGGCTTTGTTTTTCCCAGCGTTTCTGGTCTTGGGCCTGAGCATCCTGACCACCTACGGAGTGGAGGCCATCGCCCGCAGGGAGGCCTGGAGCGTTGCTCTCCTGGCGGTGCTGCTTGTTCTCTGCATCGCCATCATCCTCACCATTTGGAGGCAGCCCCAGAACCAGCAGAAGGTAGCCTTTATGGTAAGTACAGTAAGGGCTAGACTGCATGAATCATAAGGCGCAGTTTCTCTCACCATGCGTTTTTGTCAGGTGTTTCTGATCAAGGAATCTACACAAAAATTTAAAAACCCACTGCCGTCAAGTCAATTTTAACCCAGAGCGACGCTAGAAGACAGATGAACTGCTCCTTTGGGTTTCTGAGGCCCTACATTTTTACGGGTGTAGACAGCTTCGTTTTTCTCCCAAGGAGCAGCTGGTGGGTGTGAACCACCAGTCTTGCAGTTAGCAGGCCCGAATCATTGGAGGATCTTCATTTCGGAAGTCCTGTGCCCTCTCAGCAGCAGGCTGCTTTCCATCATTCCCCTTCGTTTTGGCAAGTGAAATGATCCTGTCTTGTTTTAAAGAGCAGGTTTCAGCTTGAAGGGAGAACTTCCTGAAATTGTCCCCCTGGGATTCCATGTGGATCCAGAGTTCTGGAAACATGCCATTCTCCAGATCGGAATTTGGACTCTAAAGTCAATTGGCTAGTCTTAGTGATGATGCAGGTGTTAGTGGGCTGGATAAATCCCCTGCTGTTTTGGGCGGCTGGGAATGAATATGAACCCCTCTTTAAGTATTCTCTAGAAGAATGATCTTTGTTCCCATTGTCCTTTTCATGAGAATATAAACTTAGTGACCCAGTTTGAAAATATACCAGGGGCAAGGGGTATGAGGCTTCAGAAAGCTCATGGGAAAATGGAACTTAAAGGTAATAGAATATGTCCACAAACTTGTTAAGCCCCCTTGTATATGAAAAATTAATTGCTACAGTGTTGAAATAGTTTGAGGAATATGCTTTCAAATTCTGAGTACATTAAAAAACAAAAATCATTTCTCTTCCTTAGGTACCATTCTTACCATTTTTGCCAGCATTCAGCATCCTTGTGAACATTTACCTGATGGTCCAACTGAGTGCCGACACTTGGGTCAGATTTAGCATCTGGATGGCACTTGGTAGGTCCCGCCATGCTGTGGCGTTCTGAACTTGGGCTCGCTCGCTCGCTCGTTCGTGGGGCCTGCTCGGGTTAGAGAAGAGCACCCCCGTCCCCTTCCTGGAAATAAGGGCTCTCAGCATTTCCTCATTTCCAATCTTTTTTTCAGATAAGGAGACACTAACTCACACTCTGCCTTCTTAGGTCCTCAGTTGTCTTTACATAACCTTTCCTGCTTCAGTCCCTCCCAGTACTCCTTGTGGTGGGTTCTATTTTCTCCAAGTTATGGATGGGAAAAATGGAAGCCAACAGAACTCCGCTGATTTACCTTGGGAAGCGCAATCCGAGACTCGGACTGCAAAGCGAGTCCTCTCCAGTGAACGCCAGTGGATTTCTGGGAACATTCTGGAAGGGCTGTTGGCAAACACTTGCTTCCCTGAGATAGAAATGTCTCGTTATTGGAGTCCTGGAGTGGAATCTAGCGTTAAGTAATTTGACGCAGCTTCTTTATATCTGTAAGGCGGTCTGGTTTTCATTATGACCTAATTCAGATTCCTATGTGAAATTTGAGTTAGAAACTTAAGTTTGTTGTAACAAGCTCAGACGGGGTCCAGAACGTGAGGTGAAGGCTGCGGGGTGAAGAGGTGGACGTGAGCCTGGTCTCCACTGCCCGGTAGGCTGAGAGGAGTCTCGGAGTTTCTGGTTTCTGACAGTCCGCCAGTTGGCTTAAGAAAATGAATCTTAGCCTCCTCATTCCCTTGTGTATAGGTGTTTGCTTGGGCTATAAATTAATTTCAAATATAAGACACCGATCCCGTTGGGCCCATGGGAGATTTTATCTTCAGTCCATCTTGTCCACTGCCCCCACATCCACATTTAGTTGCATCCAAGTTTTGGAGGTCACACTGTGCAGAAAATTAGAAGGTATTTGCTTTCGGTCAAAAGTTCTCCGTCAAAACAGGTTACTCTATGTTATTCCTGTTGCTGTCACTATGAGAACTCGGCTCAGGTGGCCTGCTATTTCAGAGTCTGGATCCTGGCAAGACTCTCCTGCCAATCCCAGAAGAAGTCTGTATCTGGAGGAAGCTCCACCCTCCCTACCTTTTCGCCAACCACTTAGCTGCTTGCCTTAAATCTTCTCCCTGCTCTAGAGTCTAGATTCATAGTGACCCTATGGGACTGAGTAGAACAGGCCCTGTCGGTTTCTGAGACTAACTCTTCATGGGAATCAAAGCCACCTCTTTCCCCCCTTGAGAGGCTGGTGGTTTTGAACTGGTTAGCGGCCCAGTATGTAACCCACCACGCCATGCTTAAACTGCCTCCTACACCACCGAGACCCCAATCAGCATGGCTATTCATAAACAGTTGCTTTGTGTGCACGGACACTCGTAAGGGACATCCATATCCTCTGTTACAGCTGGGTGGGCTTCCCAAAATGTCTGACTTCCACCCTGGTTCATGTTCCATTTGTATTTAGGGTATAATTTGAGACTACCCCACCTAACCTTTGGTTTAAAATGTTAGCTTGAGTTTTGAAGAAATAAAGGTAGTTTTTCTTTTCCACATAAACATTTTCCAGAACACTTTAGTTAAAAGAAACATTTTCTGTGGATTTGATTTACTGAACCCAAAAGAGGTGTATTCCCCTGGGAAATAGCCGTCTAGAAGGCCTTGGGGGGCTAGCCTGTGTCTGTGTTCTAGCCTTCTAAAGCAGCACACAAAGAAGGGGAAACGGTCCTGCCATTTCTCTATTAAACTGTCCTTATTAAAACAGCTACAGCCTGACATGCCTAAAACATGGATTTTTTTTCCCCCTCCCCAAAAGGTTTCCTGATTTACTTTGCTTATGGCATTAGACACAGCCTGGAAGGTAAATCAAGGGATGAAGAAGAAGAAGAGGAGGAAGAAGAGGAGGAGGAGGAGGAAGAGGAGGAGGAGGAAGAGGATGGTTATGCAGGCAACGGTCATGGAGCAGCAGAAGGAAAATGCACCATACAAGCAAATAACCGTCACCAAAGAAGCCGCACCTTACCTTTCTTATTCCATGAAAATACCAGCGAATGCTAATGCTTGCAGGTGCCCCGCCAGCCCGCCATCCTGACTCACACGCCACCCCGGAGTCAGCCATGGCGGGATGTCGTCATCATGCTAGGTTTCACAAGTGTGCCATGGACCTAGTTTGCCCTGGTTTCTACTCACTCTTCTGGGCAGCACTTCCTCGTGTGGAATCATGTGCCTGGGGTGACATTCACCTGCGCCCTCCCTCAGTGATGACTAACCCACTCCCCCCACCCCTGTGTGAGTGTGGATGTGGAAAGTTGTTGGTGTTTTCCTGCATTTCAGTTCTTGTTGTCATCAATTGGCAGCATAGACTACACATACTGAAATGAAGGTAAAGCACGGAAGAGAAGAGTGTTTCGTCTGCGTCCTTACAGAGAGCATGCTAACAAATGTACTTACCCATCCAGTTGCCTGTCGGTGGTCTGAGTGGGCAGAGGGCGGAAAGAAGCTCTTCTCTGAGCTGCAGATGCCAGCGGCAGCTTTCCCACAGGCTAGGTTTGGCCTGGCTAACAAGGTCTTGACAGTGGGCTAACCTTAGCCAGTCAGGGTGTTTGTTTCTGCTCTACTGCACAGCACAGGGGTGCCATGCTCAGTCACTGGGTGGCACCCTGGGGAGCTCTTAGCTCCTTTAAATGTGTCCTCCTCCATAGGAGGGCCTCATGCTGGGAATGCGGTCACCATCAGCCCAGTCTGAGGCCTGCGGAAACAGTGTGCTCTCCCTGGGGACCTTCTTACTAGCAAGCAAAGCAGAAACCTCCTGGCAGATCCAAGAGTTAGACCCATGCTCAGATAACAAGATTAACCAAGCAGGCTTGCTTTAAAAGTCACTTAAAAGAAGCCAATCTTGTCTCCCAGATCACACGATTGGCTTTGTGATTCATACAATTCCCGATTTTGTGAATAACTAGTCACACTGTAGTGTTCTTAGCCGCGTCAGGCACAGAATTCACTCCTGTTTTGTTTTGTTTGTCTGGCCTGTGGTGTGCAGGGCTACAGAAACACACGTTCTCTCTAGTACAGGACAACAATGAAGGGGCACAAGAGAAAAGTCGCTCTCTGATTTCCTGGTGCCTCTTCAGATGTTCATGGACATTTGGCCTAATGTCACAGGTTCCCATCAACTTTGCCTCTGTTTCTTTTGGAAACTTAGGGATGTTCTCCCCCTTTGACTAAATTATTTAGCACTTTTGATTTCATTTCTTCTCAAGTAACTATATTAAAGCGCTTCATGCACACCCCAGTATTCTCTGGTAAGCCATCAGTCGTTAGGGGTGGGTTGGGGATGGGGGAGATGTTTTGTTCAAATACAATTATTTTAAACTTCAATCTAAAAATCAACTTGAATTAAAATTATGAACTTTTTCCCCCGCATGTAAGATCCTCCAGTTTGCTGTATTTTATTTAATAGGGCTTTCTTATCATGAGCTATTTAGCTAAAATGTGTGTTTTACTTCTCATGGGATAGTTTTTCTTACAATTTTTCTTAAAGTGGTTTGCTAAATGTAGCGAGAAACTAGATTTATGTTGTGGGTTACACGCCCAGGATACTTGTCGTGAGTGATAACCGTGCACACCAATCCACCAGGTTAATCCAAAGACCAGGAGAACATTTATTTTCTGACATCTCTTCTGAGAAGTCAGTTATTTTATTGGTGCCATTAAACAAGTTGTGATTGATTTGTTTAAACATTGATAGCAATTACCTATCAAATAAACAGGAAGAAAGCCTGGTTTTCTGGCTGCTATGTTGTAGCACCCTGACAGAGAAATCAGTGCTGACATTCCACATGTCCCAGGGTGCACATGTTCAAACTTGAAGCTCAGCATTTTCTTTCAAGCTGCATGTTTTACTAGAGAGGGGGAGTTAGATAAGCGAGTGGGGACATGTAAGGACTAGGGTAGGTGAAGTCATGCATTCTCCCCGTTGTAGCAGCACACCGACAACAACCCTTTTTATTCCACAGTACATCAGAATTAGCCCTTGGATGCATGAGAAATTTGACGCATGAGTCTTTAACTCTTTCACTAACAAAATCAAGAAATTTCATTAGAACTCGATAGGCAGCTAGAAGTACTATACCCATTCTATTCAATTAGAATAAAAATGATTGTGTTTCCACCTGAAATGAAATATCGATTATAAATGCAAATGTCTACAGTGTAAAACACATTGCTGGTGACTCTGCTTTCCTCCCCTTTTGTGAAGATTCAAGTTGTGTGTGTGTGTGTGTGTGTGTGTGTGTGTGTGTATGCATGCAAATATGTAAACACATTTATGTGTGGGTTTGTGTATATATATCAGTATATCTACATATATTTCAAGTACCAATGTATAAGTAAGTTGGGCCTATGATGGGCTTTGGAAATGCTATTTTTAAGTGTATCAGAAGCCCAGCTTATATCTGATAGGTATGCTTATACAAAATTGTTAGGTTTTTAACTATTTTGAAGTATTCAACAATTTTATATGGATATTTTCTATAGCTAGATTCTTTAAGGTATTTATACTGTTTCTAATATGAAATTATTCTCTAGGACATTATAACAGGTGCTTTCTAGTCTGAAATGGAGTTGGGGTGGAGGCCTTAGAGTATTGCTGTTTACTTGTTTCTCTAGCACCTTCTCTGACTTATTTATCTCTATATGTGTTTATTAGTAAAAGCCAGTACTATGAACTCTTCTTATACCAGCTCTCTCCCTATATTTGAATTCATAACCTTTGAGACAAAATGTTCTTTTTCATTAGGATTACCAAAATGTTTTATATATCGTTGACAAGTAATCAGTTAAGCATATATAAATACCTTTTCAGAAATTGAAAAAAAAGAAAGAAAGAAAAGCGCACATTCTCTTTATGGTCATTGACTAAAACCGCTTTTACTCTGTTATACTAGAAAATAGCACTCGGCATTTTCTGTGAGAAACTTCCCCAATAGCACCTTTAGGTTATCCTCTTAAAAGAGGGAATGGTTTGTGAGTTACTACATTAAGGTAATGCCAACCCTACATTTAGGGAGGTAGCCGTGCAAATTCAAGTTTAAAAGCGCTTATGTTTTGATACATATTGAAATGCAGATTTTTGTTCAACCACAGCCCCAGAGATAAGCTGGGGCTTATCAAGCAAGCCAAAGGCAAAATAGTCTTTGAAATGTATACATTAAAGAAAAAGATGTAGACAAATAAAACTTCACTATCACCCAGCGCATTCGTTGCTGAGCCTCGATCTGCGCGACTCGAGGACAGAGTTACCACAGCCGGTTTCCAGGGCTGTCGCCGGCCTATGGGCACAGACTGCCGAATATTTACCCACTCTGCCACTGTCATTGGTAGAAAATCACAATCTCAGAATTACTTCCTTTGAACAAGCTAAGCCTCTCAAGATTTCTGCATAAAGAGTTTTTAAAGAACATTTTTATTTTAAATATTAGTCAAAATATTTTGAGTCCTGAATGTTTTTTAGGTAGTTGTTTATATATATACACATACATACTCTTAAATAAAATATTTTAAATTAGCCTATGCAGCATATTAGCAAAATAAAGCATTTACCAAATTCCTTTCTGGGTTTATGTGAACCCTGGGAAAGGAGGAAAAAGGACAGGCAGGTCCCTGCAATGCTGATGACAGAGGGAGCAGAGCAGCTTCTTCCTCCTCAAAAGGCAGTGCCACTCAGTAATGCTCAGAGCTTAACCTTTGAGCAAAGCTGCACAGAGATTCCAGCTCCCTGGTGTCACCTTGCTGATGGGGGCCTGCTGTGCCTGATATGCCCCAAGTGACCTTGAGTTAGCACCAAAAAGCACAATTTCCACAGAATTTTAACAGGGTAGGTTTACACCCTGGATTATTAAACTCCACATGATTAGTGTGAGTTTGAAAGTTTTTTGTTTTTTTAAAATCGACTTCTCTTTATGCCAAAAGAGCCTTCTCCATGCCCTTTGCACTTTGCGGAGTTCCCTGGCACATCCTAACGTAAGGGGAAAAGTGTCAGCATCTGAATAGCCATACCAACAGATAGATGTTTTTAAAGCCACAGAGATGTGAAAATAAGGTTGCTTGATGTTTAACTGAGAGGGCGTTTGTTTTTCATTTTTTTCTTCCTCCTTATGTAATCATACTTAAATATTTTTGAATGGCTTTCTAATTTCTAGGCTTTGAGGTGCCTGATCAGTTATTGTAGTTGTTGGCTTAGTTGTTAGTTTTTGCAACATTATTGCTTATATGTACACAGTTTAATCTTATTGGTTACAGTCCATCGTCTGGTTTAATCCTGTCCTGGGGTGAGGTGACCTCCAAGCATGAGTGTCTATAGCTACAACTGTTGGTGGGGGTCTTGGGATGAAGGGAGAAGTTATGAGGTGAAAGAAATCAGGTGGTTCAGGGTCCTTGATTTCAGTTCTAAATCCCATGAGTATGTCAAGGGGAATGAAAAAGGACCAAGGAACCTTTCTGACTCAGATAGGAGTGGCTGCGTCCTGCACCTGGCACTATAAGGCCTGGCCTGCTGCAGTCCCTGCATACACAGACCAATGGCCTACACCGAGCCAGTCAAGGGCCCTGTGCTGCCAGTGGGACAGGTGGTATCACAGCACACTTGATTGCTCAGTTCTTCAACTAGGGGTGCCCAATTGTATTGCCTCAGTCTATCGTCACACTTCATAAAAACTGTTGGAGGGCCACAAACCCCACAGAAATTCTGTCTGTAGAAGCTGACAAATGCATTGGTCTTATGCAAATGTAAACGTAAACATTTTACTTAGTCTTAATTTTAAATTGAAATGTTTTGAATGAAAATCAGCATTTTTACTTATAAATTTGAATTATGTTTTAGAACTTGTCTTAAATAAAATCTTGCTTTACCACTGTAAGATACATTTTGTCGTGTGAGCATGTATTTTTAAAATAAATATGAGTTGCAATAATGGCGTGTGCACTTAAATACCTTTCTGAGCAAATACATTCATTTCACATTTCTCTAAAGCTCTTCCTTATTGATTCTTGTCAGTGGAGTTGAGTGTCCCAATCAGGACCCTATGTGTGCAGACTAGCACTGTCCGTAGGGTTCCCAAGGCCATGCATGACCTTTCAGAAACACCACCAAGCCTGACTTTCCAAGTGCCTCTGAGAGGGTTTGAACTACCAAGCTTTAAGGTAATGGTTGAGAGCTTAATCATTTGTGCTATCCGGTGACTCCTGAATATTTGGGAACCTTTAAAGTTCAGAAAGATACAACAATCTAAATGGAAACAATTGTATGACAATTCTTGAATTCCCAGTTTCTCCCCAACTTTTGCCGCCATACCCCTGGGAAATCATCCCATTACTGCCTCAAGAGATTTCATGTACCAAAAAAAGCAAAACAAAAAAGGGAACAACGATAACAAAATAAGATCGAGAAAAACCAGTTGGAAGAAAGAAAATGTTAAAAGGTAGAGCAAATTTAAGATGGGTCACAAGGGAGATCAAATGGCAAAGTGTTACATTTTAACCTCACTGCATCTGCCATATCAGATCAAGGGTAGTCATATCCCTGGTCTGATCAGAGGGGATTCACGGGAGGCTTAATTAATCCATGTGTATTTCCCCTTCCCTTTTTATTTTTTAACTGATAGAACTTTTAAATGGGTCAAAAAGGGGATCAAATAAAGTGGTACATATTAGCCTAACAATTATAATCGTCTACAATACTCGCCTGAGGTTAACATCCCTCAGCTATGGTCAGGATTCACCAGAGGCTTAATCCATGTGTGGACCCTGCAAATGGACGGTGGGCTTCACCGTCAGCCACAGCTGTCTTCAAATTAGGAGTTCACAATTTAAACTTATTCTGTACAATCCTTGGATCGTACAGGCTAGCATGCTTCCATTCGGACTATTGTTTCTGATAGCTGGGGCCTCCCCTAGTTTATTCACACTGCTATAGCACCCACACCTTAAGTGACCTCTTCATGAGGGCAAGTATCAAGCAGGACCAGGTATTGGCATATGTGTATATATTTATATGGCAATACATTGAAGAAGTGGCCAGACTGGGCCCGTATTCAAGCCCTCCCTCAATGCAAGAACAACACTTTGTTCTAACAACCGGACAGTATGTGATGGTCACCCTCCTGACATGATCGCTGAAGACAAAATGGGTGCACAAGCAAATGTGAAGAGAGCTGATGGTCCCCGGGGCAGAGACCAAAAACCCATCTGTAGACAATGGGACATTCCCTCACAGAAGGATTGCAAGGAAGGGATGAGTCAACCAGGGTGAAGAACAGCACCGATGAAACACAATATTCCTCAGGTTCCTTGAGGCTTCCTCACCTCCCACTATCATGACCCCGATCCTGCATTTCACTTCAAGCTAGGCTGGAGCATGTACACAGGTACAGATAAGAGCTCACAACACATGGAATCCAGGTCATAGAAACCCCTCAGGAACAGAAATGGGAGTAGCAATACCAGGAGGAAGGTGGAGAATGGAGGTGGGAGGAAACCGTGGGTGAAGGGGTATAATAATTTATCAAGGGGTCACGAGGATGGGAGTGGTGAGGGAGAGTAAAAAGAGCTGATACCAAGGGTTCAAATAGAAAATAAATGTTTAGAAAACAATGATGGCAACAGATATACCAATATGCTTGATACAATTGATGTATGGATTTTTATAGAGCTGGAAGAGCCTCCCAACAAAATTACCTTGAAAAAAACTAATTGTTCTTGGAGTGGGGCTAGAATTACATGCAAGTCAAAATTCCTTCATGCATCTGTGGTTTATACATGTCTGTGGTTCACCTTAGAGACATCATTGTCATTTTAGAGAATATTATCAACCATCTCTCTGGATAGTAAGATATTCTATTGATAGTGCCATTAACTTAGCCAATGGTATAGAATTTAAAACACAGTTGACGGAAGGAGATTACAGTACTCCCATTATTGGTCCTGAGGGGTTTATCTGTCCTGGGTTCCCTGTGTATATCCTATATATACCAGTGGATATCCTCTGGTCTAGTCAGATTTGTAAGGTAGAATTGGGGTCATGATAGTTGTGGGGGAGGAAGAATTAAAGAAGCAGAGGAAAGTTGTATTTTGTCGGTGCTATACTGCACCCTGGCTGGCTTATCTCTTCCTTGTGGCACTTCTGACAGGGGGTGTCCAATTGACTACTGATGGGCTTTGGGTCTCCACTCTGCCTTCCCCCCCATTCACATAGAAATGATTTTTTGTTTTGTTTTGTATCTTTGATGTCTGATACCTGATCCCATTGACACCTCATGATCACACAGGGTTCTGTTGCTTCTCAGCTAGATGGCCGCTTGTTTATCTTCAAATCTTTAAGACCCCAGGTGCTATATCTTTTGATAGCTGGGCACCATCAGCTTTCTTCACCACATTTGCCTTTGCACCCATTTTGTTTTCAGCAATTGTGTCAGGGAAGGTGAGCATCATAGAGTGCTGTGTTAGTGGAACAAAGTGTTCTTGTGTTGAGGGAGTACTTTAGTAGAGATCCAATGTTGTAATACTTTGTAAATAAGCATATGTACATAGATCTATTCCCCTGTCATTGTATATAAGTGTATTTACATATATACATGCCTGCATTTAGACCTCTATAAATGTCCTTTGCCTCCCAGTTCTTTCCTCTATTTCCTTTTTACTTTTTTCTTGTCCCACTATCATGTTCAGCCATTTGGGTTTCAGTAATTCCTCTTGGCTTTATTGCCCTTGATCAAGCCCCCAAGCATCCTATACTCTCCTCACCCTCAATTTTAGATCACTTGTTTTTCCCTGTCCCTGGGTTTATTGGCATCCCCCACACCAAATCCTTTCTCCCACTTCCCCCTCTCCCGTGTCTCCTGGGAACCCTCGTTCCATTGCTCTCTCCTCTGGATTGCTCATCCCGCCTGTCTTGTCCAGATAGACATTCAGAAACAATAATACACGCAAAAACAAAGCAAAACATAACAAAAGAAAACAAAACAACAACTTTTAAAAAAAGAAAAAAAAAGTAACAGCAAAAAAATAAAAGCCCTCAAACAATTCCTTTATGAGTGTTTTCCACTTGAGTCTGCCGGGTGCCCCGTCCTGGCCCCAAAGTCCACCTTTGGCCTTCCTCGGGGACTCCGTTGCTTTTTGCTCCTCCTGCTGCTCCGCGGCACGTCCTTAGTGTTTCGCCACGCTGCGGCGGGGTCGGGACGGCACATCTCCCGCAGCGTGTCCCCAGTGCTGTCCCCCATAGCACTCTGGGTCAGTGAGGGACGTTGTATCTCGTGGTGGGGCCAGCCCTGTGATCCTCTCTGTACATTGGCTGCTCTGAGCCGGAATACTGTCCTCAGCCAAGCCATGATATTTTTAATAACTTCATAAGCACGTGACAGACAATGAATAAAAAAGACTGCAAAAGCATTCATGAATTTGGAGGGTTCAAACCCATCAGCCACTCTTTGGGGGAAAGAGAAAGCTGTCCGCTCTGGTCAAGGACAGTCTCGGAGTCTCCGGATAAGGTTGCATACGAGTCAGAATTGGCTGGAATTGGTGGTTACCAACCGAGCAGGTCTTTGGGTGAGCCAGCAGCTTGTGCTCAGTGACTTAGTTGGCAGTTGGAACCTAGCCGTGGGCACCAGGAAAGAGCAGTCTGGGAATGCGCATCCTTCAAGATTATTGCCAAGAAAACCCTCTGGAGCAGTTATACGTTGAACCTCATGCATCAGAATTGCTACTGGAACTCAGAAAGCACTCAGTCGCCATGGACTTTACACAGCAGGAGCCCCTGGGTGGTGCTTGGTTACTAACTGCAAGCAAGTCCAACCCACCCAGAGGCATTTGGGGAGAAAAGTCTACTTTTGAAAAATTCCAACCATTGAAAACTCTATTGCAGTTCTTCTCTGAAAACGCATGGGGTCGCTATGAGCCAGAACAGACTCCACGTCAACTGTTCCTTCCGTTTTCAAACAATTTTATCGACATATTATTCATGTATCCTACAATTCAACAAGTCAATCATATTAAAAAGAGTTGTACAATCATCACTACAGTCTATGTAGAACATTTTATTCTTTCTTATACTGATTGTGATTAACTCCCCATTTCCCCCTAGCCGCCCTCTGAGAAATCGACAAGAAACCATTAATCCAGCTACTGTCCCTATAAATGTCCCTATCTTGGATTTCATATATAGAAAAACATTACCCCCCACATAAAAAAAAAGCCAACAACAAAATAAAACATAGAAAAACCTCAATCAAATTATGAAAACCCACATGTGATCACAAGGTGCCGAAGGGATCAGGTGTCAGACATCAAAGAAAAAAAAA